ACACTTAAATACTATATTGTTGTTGTAAAGTGCCACAGAGTCTGTTCCAATTCAGAATGACTTCATAAAGGGTTTCTGCGGAGTGGCTGGTGGTTTTGAACCATTGACCTTGTGGTTAGCAGTCCAGTGCTTATCTTACAGTGCACAGGATTCCTAACTGCTAATCTAGTCCTGAAAAACGTGCTGACTTTCTGCGTCTCTTAGGGTACTCCCTATGGTATGCATGAATAAATCTTTGACTCTTAGAGGAACCCTTCTGCACTGAAAATTGATTCTTAGTCTGCAGTGTAACTAAAGCAAATTCTTTAGAAGGGGATTTCTCATTTTGAAGTTCCCTAGACACTTATTTGTATTACTAAAACAATAAGTAAACCTTTGATTATATGAGCTTTTATGGTATTTGAATTATGGGGGTCGAAACTGACTCGACGGCACTTAACAACAACAACAACACTTTACCAAAATTATCTACAGATAGGATTCCTCTCAACTTGCTACAAGCAAAAAGGGTAATTGTCCTATGATAGGCACACTAGGTTCAGAGCTAGAGGTAATGGATAATCATGATCTAATCTGAATTTGGTTGACTATTTACGCAGCCAAAAAAGTAGTTATGCTATAATATTGGCTGAACAGAAAGATAATTGTTAAATGCCATCGAATAGGTTCCGACCCATAGCATCTCTGTGTAGGGTTTCCAAGGAGTGGCTGGTGTGCTCCAAAGATAATGGCCAGTCTGAAAAGGAATTGCTCCATTAGACACCAGGTGGACAAAAGCAGGATACTGCCTCACTTGTTTTCTCGTTATCTGACATTTTGTATTTACAACAGTAATAAAAAGTCTGTTTTTCACATTAAACTGTACATCTGGCTGTAATGAATGCCAAGATGTGATGCAAGAGTAACACTAGCTGTGCTGGTTACCATCATGTGTCAGCCTGTCTGGGCCACGATTCCCGGTGGTTGGGCAGTTACATAATATAAGTAGATAGTTGTATAATGGTATCGTTTGGTTCCTTGTAAGCCCGATGCGGGGTCGCTCTGAGTCGAACCAAATGCAAAGCACTCAACACCGATAATGATGTACTCAAGCTCCGTTTTGTGATCTGATGTGATTAGCCTCCGTTTTTGCATAATGACCTCATCTCTGGAACCGAACCATGTCAGTAAGTGAGACCAGGGCGTATGTGAACGAAGGGGAAAGACAAACTAGTGTTGTTTAAAAGTCTTAGAACTTAAAATATAAAGCAGAAACCAAAAAGGGGGAAACGTTTGTTTAAATCAAAGCTTTTAGATATTCGTATCAAGTTTTTCAATGACTTTCAAATGACAAAGATCATCCAGTATGTGCTTTTCTTTTTATAGTGTCAGATGTGGCTAAATGTAAAGTATTTGCTCATGTTGTTACTGTGTTGTTACAGCAAGGAAAAGAACCAGTATGAAAACAGCATTTGCCCTTGAGAAGCTATTTCCAAAACAGTGCCAAGTCCTTGGGATTGTTACCCCGGGAATCATAGGTGAGAAATACCTTTCATGCCTTCTGTATATTGGTGAGTTAGTTGTAGCTTAAAACTACTCATTTTTGGCCTTCCAAAATACAATAAAGTTAATCATTATTTACCTGGTATTATTTTGACTTTTGTTAATTACAGTGGTTAATATTTGGGTGTTTTTTTCTTTTTAGCTATCATGAATAATCTTACTGTAAACATTTGTGTATATGTTTTTAGGTGAACTTTTTTTTTCTTTCCTATCAAACATATATATGTGTGTATATGTGTGTGTGTGTGTGTGTGTGTGTATGTATGCATATATATATACATATATATGGCTTTTTGTGTTGTTGGTTTTTTTATTGTGAATTGAGTGAAGGTTTATAAACAAGATCATGAGTTTTACATTCAACAAATCATCCACTTTGTTTCAGCTCAATGATTGCAGTTCCCTCCATGGAATAATAGTCATCACTTCCTCCCTGTGGTTCCTAGTTCGCTTCCACCAACCTTCTCATTCCTTCTCACTGTTGTTCTTATGTATGTGTTGTCCCTTTGATTTTGAATGATCTTTGACCATTCCATCATTTATAGTGAGCATATTTTACTAGTGGTGGTGTTCTCCCTCTGTACCAATCTGCTAATTGGCTGAAAGTTGTTCCCTGGTTACGAATCGGGCTGCGAACCTTAAGGTCAGCAGCTCTGCGGGAGAAAGATGAGGCTTTCTACTCCCGTAAAGATTTACACCCTCGGAACCCTGTACAGGGTCGCTATGGGTCGGAACTGACTCGATGGCACTTAACAACAACAACAACAACAACTGCTTGGCTGGAAAACAGTGTGTTGCTTTTTAAACTTGAAGGATGGATGGTTGAGGGCCACAGACTCAGGTTCCTCCAGTTTCTTTTTTGACCAGTAAGCCTGGTCTTTTAATTTTATTTTTTCAAAATAATTTTGAGTTTTATTCCACACATTTTGTAGCTCTATCTAGGACCTTCTAATGTGATCCTGATCAGGGCAGTTGGTAGTGCTAGCTGGGCACCATCTAGTTCTTTTGGTCTCTTATGAATATGTTTTCATTTGTCTCGGATATATACTTAGAAGTGTAATTGCTTGGGTCATATATTAACTTTATGTTTAACTTTTAAAACATAGTGTGTTTTTGGTGAGAGTTTACATAGCAACTTAGGTTCCCATTTAAAAATTCCTACACCAGTCTCTGGTAGCGTAGTGGTTACGAATCGGGCTGCGAACCTTAAGGACAGCGGTTCGAAACTACCAGCTGCTCCGCGGGAGAAAGATCAGGCTTTCTACTCCCGTAAAGATTTACACCCTCGGAAACCCTGTACAGGGTCGCTATGGGTCGGAACCGACTCGACGGCACTTAACAACAACAACAACAAACACCAGTTCTTTGGTGACTTTGGTTATATTTTTCACTAGGTGAACATTCTCATTAATTCTGTTCTGGTGGTTTTATTTACAGTAATCGTGTCTCCCTATCTCCTTCTCATTTTTTGTTTTAGAGTCATTGTTACCTATTTGGTCTCAGGTGGTTTTTTAAAGAAGTACAGATACTCACAGTTATAGTCTCTATATTTATGAGCTATTTTATTACCTAAAGATAAATGGTAACTTTGGAATCGTTTTAGGAGTTCACGGTTTAAAGGCCATCTCAGGCTCATAGTCTTGAGAATCCTCTTGTCTCAACCAGTCCAATAAGTTTGGATTTTTTAAAGAATTTGTGTTCTGTTTCTGTTTTTCTGCAGTTCTAGCAGGAGGCATCTATTATGGCCGTGACAGAAGGGTCACTAGTGGTAGCAGGACACCATCTAATTATGGTAGATGAGGTTGTAGCTGACTTGTCCATTTTTTTTTTTATCAGTGTCTTTTGATGAACAGGAAGTTTTGATTTTGGTTAAATTCAGTTGATTGCTATTTTTTCTTATGGTTGATGTTTTGTATGTGCATTCCAGGAAATCTTTGTCTATGATATGATCTCAAAGATAGTCTCTCATGGATCTTCTAGAAACTGCATATTTTAAACTGTCACATTTAGTTTTGTGATCCAATTTGCGTTTGTGTGTGTGTGATGTAAGGTTAATTTTCCCCGTCTGTTTATGCAGTTAATTCCATCACCATTTGTTAAAGAACATTCTTCAGCCATTAAATTGTCTTGGCCCAATCGTTGGCTTTATGTCTGTGAGAATGAGCAAACCAGATTCAGAAGAGGATGGAATGAGGGCTGTCACTGGTGATGTCAGAGCAGCATATCAGAAAGATGTTTACCTGTGTTGTATTGACTTTACAAAGGTATTTAACTGTGGATCAAAATAAACTATGGATAACAATGTAAAAAATGGGTGTTCCAGAACACTTAGTTGTGCTCAAGCACAACCTGTATATAGGCCAAGAGGAAGTCATTGGAACAGAGCAAGGGGGCTACTGTGTGGTTTGAAATGAGAAAAGGTGTGCGTCAGGGTTGTATACTTTTATGATATTTATTCGATCTGTGGGCTGAACAGATAATCAGAGAAGCTAGACAATATGAAAAACACAGCATCAGGATTGGAGCAAGAGTCATTAACAACTTATGATATGCAGATGGCACAACTTTGCTTGATGCAAGTGAAGAGGACTTGAAGTATTTGATAAAGGTAAGAGACCACAGCTTTCAGTAAGGATTGCACCTTAATGTAAAGAAGACAAAGATCCTCACCACTGGACCAACAATTAACATCATGATAAATGGAGAAAAGACTGAAGTTGTCAAAGACTTCATTTTGCTTGGATCTATAATTAGTGCTCATAGAAGCATCTGTCAAGAAATCAAACGACGTATTGCATTGGGCAAACCTACTGCAAAAGATCTCTTTAAAGTGTTAGAGAGCAAAGACGTCACTATGAAGGATAAGGTGCGTCTGAGCCAAGTCATGGTATTTTCAGTTGCCTCATATACTGTGACACTAACTAAGAAGGCCGGAGAAGAATCAGTGCATTTGAATGACGGCGTTACTGAAGAATACTAAGAGTACCATGGACCTCCAGAAGAACAAACAGATCTGTCTTGGAAGGTGTACAGCCAGTGGTGAGACGTTATCTTTCATACAGAAGGAATTAGTCCCTGGAGAAGGACATCATGCTTGGTAAAGTGTGGAGGGTCATCAACAAAAGAGCCCCCTGAACAAGTGACAGTGACATTGGACTCAAACATACCGTTTTGTGAAGGACACATACTAGGCAGTGTGCACAAGATGGCTGTGAGTCAGAACCAACTCCGTGGCTCCCCAAAACAGCACCAGACTCCCCTCCCCCTCCCCCATCTAAGTTCATCAATTAAAACCAGTTTTGCATCATTCGCTCTTCTCTCTTAGTTTATAAAAACATTTCTTCCTGAAAAGTTTGAAAGTAAGTTGCAGATATCTTACCATTGGTGATGATGGTATGCCATGGAGTCAGTTCCTACTCATAGTAGGGTTTCCGAGGCTGTAAATCTTTATGGGAGCAGAGAGCCTCATCTTTCTCCCACACAGTGGCTGGTAGATTTGAACTGCTGACCTTGTGATTAGAGGCCCAATGTATAATCCACTGCTTACTTTTGTTCAGATAGTGGCCTGTTAGCTTGGTAACTGACTACAGTTGTCTAGGTGGAATGCTTGATTAGCATTGTTACAAATGGAACTTGTAACATTTCATTGAGTGTCCTTATGAAACTGTTCAATTTTTTTTCTAGTGACTCCAATGGGCTCAGGCAGCAATCGACCTCAGGAAATAGAAATTGGAGAATCTGGTTTTGCCCTTTTATTCCCTCAAATTGAAGGAATAAAAATACAACCCTTTCATTTTATTAAGGATCCCAAGAAAGTAACACTGGAAAGACATCAACTCACTGAAGTAGGTAAGTAATTGTCATTTACCTTTAGTTGCAATTTTGTTGCTTGTATTGGTTACATTTTAAATCCTGGCTAGTGGGTGAATATTAGGACCCTTTGGGAAAGTCTGAATTGTGAAGAAGTTCACATATATCTGCGAATTACTGAAGCCATGGATAATCCAAATTTACTGATTGAGAGAGGCTAATGAGGCACATTTTTATAGGGTTGATCTACTTTTTAAATTATTCTGTGTGCTTTGAAGCCTTCTATAAAGTGGAATCACTAACTTACTAAAGAACCAGAGTGGAAATTTTTTTATAAATACTCTGCAGATAATCTGTATTTGAATCTGAATTTCCAAGGAATTCATTCTCTGAGTATTTTTTTGTATTTTGTCCTATATTTATTTGTTTGTCAAAGCTGACAAGCTTTTTTGGTTTTGGAAAGTTTTTATTTCATTTTCACACTAATAATCTTGTTCAATGGAGCACAGTGGTGCAGTGGTTAAAGGGCTCTGCTGCTAACCTGACGGTCGGCGGTTCAAACCCACTAGCAGCTCCATGGGAATAACATGCAGAAGTTTGCTTCTGTAAAGATTTATAGGCTTAGAAACCCCACTTTCTCTTATGGGATCGCTGTGAAGTAGAATTGACTTGATGGCTGGTGGGTATTGTTTTAAAAACCGCTTCACATGGAAAAAGTATAGTGTCCCCGGTGATGAGTTTGGTGGTGGTGGTCATGTGCCGTGGAGTCGGTTCCGACACATAGTGGCCCTGCATAGGGTTTCTGAGGCTGTAAATCTTTATGGGAGCAGAAAACCTCTTCTTTCTCCCACTGAATGGCTGATAGTTTCAAACTGCTCACCTTGAGATTAGCAGCCCGACTCGTAACCGCTATGCTACCAGAGCTGTTAAGTTTAGGGAAGGTAAGAGAGGAAGGGTTATAGCAGGGCACATCAGCCTGGAGGAGAGTGATCCTAGGCTTAGTAGGCTTTAGTATGTAAGCTCTGGCAAGAAAGTTCATTTAGTACACAAAGCAATGAACTAGACACAACGGGTGGCTCAGATGGAAAAGTGCGTGACACAGGTGGCCTGTAAGATTCAGTGGCACTTAACAACAACTACTACCTGAAAAGATGGTAGTTTGAACCCACCCAGAGGCGCCTTGAAAGACCCGCCTGGTGATCTGCTTTCATTCAGATGGTCACAGCCTGGAAAAGCTGGTGAGGCTCTGCTCTGTGCACGTGGGGTCCCCAGAGCCAGGGTGGATGAGCAACTAACGACAACACACTAGTTACTCAGGCTTTTTATCTACATCTGCAGATGGCTCTTTGACCATTAAAATACTCATTATTGGCATATGCAGCATTCAATAGGATCCCCTTTTATGTACAGGTCAGCCAACCTGTGGGGTGGTGAGCCACCCCATTAGGAATCAGTTGTTTGGCATCCAAAGGAGAACTTGTGATTGGTGTACTGATCTCCACGAAGCATACACTGAGACTCCCTTTTGTAGCTGTCCCTCACAGTGCACAGTGCACAAAGTCAGTGGATGGAGGGAGGGAAGCCCAGGGTGAGGTATTGGCAGCAAAGGCAGTGAGCAGCAGGCCTCAGTGTAGGAGCAGTGGCTGGTCAGGTGCAGGTGAGCAGTGGAGAGTTTCAACAAGCAGCTCTGTGGTGGTAGGCAGCATAGCCTAGCTATTAAGAATGCAGACTTTGGAACAGCCACCTGTCTAGCTCTCCAGGGCAAGTTTCTGAACTTTTCTAAACCTTACTTTCACCTTCTATAAAGTGGAATCACTAACTTACAGAGCTGTGAGGATTCCATGAAATCCCTATATGCGGAGCACTGAGCAAATATGCTAAGATGTTTAACACTAGCCTCTCTTCTGCCTTAGGCAGTCTTCCCATCAAGTCTTGGGTGAGCCACTACCTTTAGTGTGGCCTTGTGGTCTGAGGGGGAATCGACTGGAAGGCAGGTGTGACCTGGTAGAGGCCAGTGATGATTTTGGAGATCTTTAGCCCCATTCAAAAGCACACACTTGTCTCGGTTTCTGTTCTTAAGTGCTGTCAAGTGGGTTCCGACTCCTAGTGACCCTGTGTAGGGTTTTCCAGGAGTGGCTGGTGGATTTGGATTATGTTTACTGAGGTGGTGCATCCTTGCACTGTGCAGCATGCTGTTACTTACCTGGGCAGAATTTATGGTGTACTGTCAATGAGAAAACTGAACCTTGGCAGTAGAAAACCAAGGTTCATAGACTACATAAGCAGCAGACCAGCTGTACTGTTAATGTTACTTTAATGAAGAATTCCAGGCTTCTGGGGTAAAGACCAGATAGTGCCTTTAAAACTTGGCCCAGTGTTATGGGGGAAGGCAAAAAGAGTTGTAGAGCAAATGTGCCTGTGCAGTGGGGCCAGTGCCTCTGTCATTTCATCATGTGACTTAAAGTGAGAAGAAGAGTTGGGTCTAGCAAACTATAGCACAGTGTTGGGATACTTTGATAACTTGGTTTTGAGTATGTGTCTTCTGTGAGCAGATTGTATAGTTCTTCTCATCTATTGAAGAACCTGTCCAGATCTTATTCTAGAGGGTACTAGTGATATAAATGCCTAGATTAAGAACCATAAAATCTTAGGTCTGGATTTTCAGTGTACCTCACAGTTACTGGTTCCTTCAACAATACAAGCCATGAGCATTCCTAATTCTGCCTTTCCTGATGAGACTTGATGTTAGAAGACCAGCTGGAGCTTGCAAAGCTTAGCAAGCCAGTTGTTTTGTTTTGTTTTTAAAGAATTAGTCAGGTGGTTAGAAAATAGTTGAGGCCAAAGACTTTTTTTTAATTAGTGGTGAAAATATACACAACAAAACATTTGCTGATTCAACAGTCTTGATGTGTATAATTCAGTGATGTTAACTATTCTACATGTTGTACAATCATTATCATTTTCCAATTTATTTTGCTGCCATTGACATAAACTCAGTGTCTCCTTTCCTCCTCCTTTTGCACCCCTGGAAACCATGGGTAAGCAGGATTGGGAAAAAATCCAACTCCAGTGAAGAAGCCTGCCTTCAGTTTTTGATTCAGTGTTTTGGTAAAGTCATGTGACCAAACCTTTTGTTTTGTCCTGAAGTAAGTGTGGTGTCGTCCCTGTAGCATCTTGGGAGTCCTGCATGAGGTCCTGATATGCAGCACTGTGGGAAGCCAGAATCCCACTAAAACTGCATGTACTTCAGGACAAAACATGAAGGAGGTTTGGACACATGACTTAGCCAAAACACTGAATCAAAAACTGATCTACAAGGTCGGCCGTTCAAGCTCACCAGCTGCTCCTTGGAAACCCTTTACAGGGTCGCTATGGGTCAGAACCGACTCAACGGCACTTAACAATAACAAGCCACATATAGGAATCAGAAACGGAAAACTGGCCCTAGATTTATTCTCTGTGAACGTAACTGGTGGTCTTACCAGGGAGCCGCTTGTTGTTAGTCATTTTGGCTTGTTCCAAAGCATCACTTTGCCCTGTGTGACCTTGTAGAGATTTAGACTTTGCCTAGATTGAATAAATGATCTTTATTCTCTCCTATGCTAGCTAGTTTGTTTCCTAGTTGTGGGTATTTGCAGATTTAGAACGCTGGTTTTTATGTAGTCTAGAAAATGGTGGCATTGGATGTGAATTGGAGGCTGTGGCGTCCCTTCTCTGTAGAGTTCCAGCCTGCATTCTGGAACCGCCACTTGGAGGAACTCTTCTGTATTTCTAACAGTTGAAATCATTCTACTCGTGTTAGAATCCTTTGGGGACTAGGACATGTTTTCTGTAAAGGTCAAATACTAAATTATTTGTGTTGTGCAGATGACGTGGTTTCTGTCAAAACTATGCACCTCTTGTGTTGGGGTGTGAAAGCAGCCATAAAAATTCATAAACAAATGGCTGCACTCAAGTACAATGGTTTATAAACCTAGGAGAGAGGCTGGGTTTGGTTTAAGCACTGTAGCTTGTCTATCCCTGCCTTATAGTTCTGAGCTCTAGCGAGTAAGATCTTCTGTGAAAAGCGCACAATAAACAACTGTAACAAACCCATCGACCTTGTAATTAGCAGTTTATTGCTTATCCTATAGCACTACACAATGAACAATAGAGGGGATAATATAATTTATGAAATTGTCTGGGCATCCTGGCCTCCAAGGAGCATTCTGGTTATACTTCTTCCAACACAGATTGCTTGGTTCTGTTGGCAGTCCGTGGTACTTTCAGTTTTCTCCAACACCGTAACTGAAAAGCATCAAATTCTCCTACAGGCTTCCGTATTCACTGTCCAGCTGTCACATGCATATGAAGTTATTGAAAATACCATGGCTTGGGTCTGGCGCACCTTAGTCCTCAAACCTGACATCTTTGCTCTTGAACACAGATTTGCCTAATGAAATACTTAATTTGATTTCTTGACTGCTACTTTCATGACTGCTATTGTCAAGTGCCGTTGATTGCAATCCCAATCCAGATTCTAACGACATTCTTCAAAGAGATGGAAAAAACAATTACAAACTTTATATGGAAAGGAGAGAGGCCCAGGATAAGCAAAGCACTGCTTAAGAAGAAGAACAGGATAGGAAGGATCTCACTCCCTGATGTCAAAATTTGCAACACGGCTACAATGGTCAAAACAGCCTGGTACTGGTACAATGAAAGATACATTGATCAATGGAATAGAATTGAGAATCCAGAAATCAACCCATCCACATACATCCAACTGATTTTTAACAGAGTACCTAAGTATATTGCATGGGGAGGAGGTGCTGGCAGAACTGGAAAGCGATATGCAAAAGATTGAAACAAGAACTTTACTTCACACCTTATAAAAAAAACAACTCAAAATGGATTAAAGACCTAAATGTGAATCCCAGAATTACAAAGGTCATTAAAGAAAAAATAGGGGAAAATGTGAGCGCTCTAATACAGGGCATACACAGACTACCAAACATTTTGAAACTTACACAAAAATAGACAAAATAGATAATGGGACA